TTTCTGGTGGTTTATTGGAGATAGGAGTCTCACAGTCTTTCCTGCCTGGGCTGGCTTTGAACCGTGATCCTCAGATCTCAGCCTCCTAAGTAGCTAGGATTACAGGCGTGAGCCACCAGCGCCCGGCTTCTTTGTAAATTTTTCTACTGAACTAGATTTATTAGGGTCCTAATTTCCTTGTAAAGAACATAAACATGGATTTGCATACATTGTCTCGTGCATCTAATGTTTATAATCTTCAGTCAGCTGGACCTTTGGTTCTACTTTTCAGTAATTTATAGTTAGCTCAGTGAAAAAATGGCATACAGAATGTACATGAGCCTACTTGATACTCTCTTATAACCGTATCACAGCTCTCACTTAGGAAAAACCTTTAGTTTCAGAACAGGGCATTTAATTGGCATCACTGAGAAAAATTAAGATGATTTTGTTATTTCACATTTCAGCAACGAATGGACAATTTTATGGCCAAAAGGTGTACCCTAAGAATTGGAATCAATTATCTTTATGAACCCATTGAGCTTTGTTAAGCTATGTTAATCTGTTAAGCTAATGTTGGACAGGGACAGTCGCAGGCACAAATGTCCCTGCTCAAGTCCCTGCCCGTTTTGATGTTCAGTTCTCTGACTTACAAACATCTTCATCATCGATGCTCGGCATATCTGTGCAGTCAGGACCACTCACCACAGGGCAACAGAAGACAGGCTGGTAATGAGGACATGCCCTCTGCATAAGCGTGCCACTGATAAAGTAAGATAGTTTGTGACACTTCGGCTCCTCACTGCACTGGTCCACTTCAGTGGCTCTTCCTGGTGCTTCTTGGAAGGCCTGTTGAAGATGATCATAATAAGAGGTGCCACCACCAATGAGCTATAGATACTGCATGTGCTAGTGATGATCTTCCCGCCCAAGGTGATAGAGTGTATCTCCTTAGCCCACAAGACCAGTAGATAGGGAGGCTGAGATCTGAGAATTGCCGCTGATCAAAGCCAGCCTAGTCAGGAAAATCCATGAGACTCTTAACTCCAATTAGCCATCAGAAAACTGGAAGTAGCCGGGCGCTGGTGGCTCACGCCTGTAATCCTAGCTACTCAGGAGGCTGAGATCTGAGGATCAAGGTTCAAAGCCAGCCCGGGCAGGAGAGACCGTGAGACTCCTATCTCCAATAAAACCACTAGAAAACCGGAAGTGGCGCTGTAGCTCAAGTGGTAGAGCACTCGCCTTGAACTGAAGAGCTGAGGGACAGCGCCCAGGCCCAGAGTTCAAGCCCCACGACCGACAAAAAAAAAAAAGAAAACTGGAAGTAGAGCTGTGGCTCAAAGTGCTAGTCTTGGGCAAGAGCTCAGCGATAGCAGCACCCAGGCCCTGAGTTAAAGCCCCACAACCAACAACAAAAGGAGGAAGAGGAGGAGGAGGAGGAAGAGGCAGAAGAAAAAGGAATAGAAGAATAGCTTTCATAATTAGTTTTGTCTGGCTAGAAAACCAGAACTTCACGATTTCCAGGTGAATCAAGATAAAAATGTATTGGAGTCTTGGGACCAGCTGGTCTCCCCTTATAGGTCTTGTCCCATCAATAAAACAAATGAAGTACACAGGAAAAATAAACATCTATAGATCTTTAACAGTGAATAAAAGTCACTATACTGTTGGTGGAAATATAAACTAGTAAAACCACTATGGAAAATCAGAATAGGATCCCCCAATATATTTTATGAACTTGCATGCCACTATTGAGCATACAGCCAAAGGAATGTAAGTCAATATACAAGAAAGATACTTGCATATTCATGTTTATTGCCATGCTGTTTACAATAACCAAATGAATCAACCAAGGTGCCCAACAGCAGATGAATGGATGAAGATGATATGGTACATATGCACATGGAAGGTTACACAGCCATAAAGAAAAATTAAGTCATTTGCAGGGAAATGGACAGAACTGGAGTCATCATGTTGAGTAAGATAAGCCAAAGTCAAAAAGTTAAATATAGAATTGTTTGGTTAATATGCCAAAACTAAATATAAAATATATACATATTCATAGGCATATACACATATATGCTTACTATACATAAGTATTATATCTATACACATATGTAAACATGGAACATGATTCTATGGGACACAGAGGGTAAGAGGAAGGTACAGGGGATAGATGGAGGTCACTGGCTAACAGCGGCTCACACCTATATTCCTACTCAGATCTGAGGATCTCAGTTCAAAGCCAATTAACCACCCAAAACCAGAAGAGGTATGGATCAGGTGATCGAGTGCCAGCCTTGAACAAAAAAGATAGATGGAGGGCTGGAATGTGGCTTAGTGGTAGAGTACTTGCCTAGCTAGCATGCCTGAAGCCCTGGGTTTAAGACCACCAGAAGTGGTGCTGTGACTCAAGTGGTGAAGTACTAGCCTTCAGCAAAAGAAGTTCAAGGGGAGTGCCCAGGCCCTGAGTTCAAGCCCAGAACTGGCACACACACACACACACACAAAAATAGATGGAGGGTAATTTTGAAATACATTTCAACCAATAGGGAAGAGGAGATGAAAGAGAAAGCAAAGGAGTTATCCTGAGTTAAATGCATGCACATCTGAATTAATAGTGGTGAAACTCCCAGGGACAATGAATACACGCTATAAACTACAATGTCAAGAAAGTGAAATAGAGCCGGGCGCTGGTGGCTCACGCCTGTCATCCTAGCTACTCAGGAGGCTGAGATCTGAGGATCGCGGTTCAAAGCCAGCCCGGGCAGGAGAGACCGTGAGACTCCTATCTCCAATAAACCACCAGAAAACCGGAAGTGGCGCTGTAGCTCAAGTGGTAGAGCAATCTCCTTGAGCTGAAGAGCTGAGGGACAGCGCCCAGGCCCAGAGTTCAAGCCCCACGGCCAACCAAAAAAAAAAAAAAAAAGTGAAATAGGCTCTGTTAGGATGTGGGCGGGAGGTTCAAGAGGGTGAATAGGGTCCAAGTAACTCCTTTACATGGATGAAAATAGAATGAGACCTGATGAAATTGCTCTAAGAGGGGAGAAGGGAAAAGGAGGGAGATGATTCAGGGGATGAGGTTGATTGGGACACATTGTACACACATATGGAAATTACCTCCCCTCCATTGTGCAACTATGTATGCTAAGGATTGTGGTTCAAAGCCAATTCAGGCAAGAAAGGTGGTGAGATTTTCATCTCCAATAAATGACCTGGGGCTGGGGGTGGGAGCCAGAAGTGAAGCTGTGGCTCAAGTGGTAAAGTGCTAACCTTGAGCAAAAGAAGTTCAGGGACAGCACCCAAGTTCATGAGTTCAAGCCCCAGGACCAGCACAAACAGAAAGAGAGAGAGAGAGAGAGAAGAAAGGAAGAAAGAAAAAGAAAAGAAAGAGGGCTGGGAAGGTGGCTCAGTGGTAGAGCACTTGCCTTGCATGCCTGAGGCCCTGGGTTCGATTCCTCAGCACCACATAAGCAGGAAAAAAAAAAAGCTGGAAATGGTGCTGTGGCTCAAGTGGTAGAGCACTAGCCTTGAGCTGAAGAGCTGAGGGACAGCGCCCAGGTCCAGAGTTCAGGCCCCACAGCTGACAAAATAATAATAACAGTAATACAAAGCAGAGGTAGTTTTACTAATTGTGCCAGTGGTGGCATGTCTGTGGGATGAAACTCATGAAGAGTCCTTGGGACTTTCAGTGCTGGGGAAAGGGAGATTGGAATGGTCACATAGAAAAGATTTAGCCAAAGCCCTCTGTCAATATTAACTCCTGGATTATTCGATGATTGACAAGAGATCCCTTATCTGTCTGTAGTGTGTGGCTTAATACTTTTGGAGGGTGTTAGGAAAACAACTCTTTCTGTTTGTAAAGTAGTAAGTGAGGGGAAACCTTTCAACATTCACCTTGCCTTTCCTATATAAATAGAGGCCACCAGATAACTCCAGCAAATATTTTTCCCTTTATTGAAGAAATAGATGGAGAATGATAGAATGGGAGCATCACTCTCTTCCAGCCTCTAATGAGTTAAACGTCTAAGTACCTATCATCATCAGTTACTGGCAACACAAAAACAGAATTTATGTGTCTCTTGAACAACCAAAAGCTGTGAAGCAGTCATTGAAATGTGATTGTACAGTACACCAACTTGAATCTGATTAATCAACCAGATCCAATCATTGATTTGCTTGAAATACAGACCCGAGAAGTTTATTCAGCTATGCTATAACAGGGAAGTCAGCATGGCTCTGCACTGTGCAGCGCTACTTGAATTCCCAAGAACAGGATGCAAACAGAAAAAGTGGGGTAAGACGTTTTCTAAATGTCACATAAATTGTTGAGAAGTAATTACCATAATCATCAATATAGTGGAATTCTTTAGGAATTAATGCACGTCATTGGCAGCCCTTAAAGGACATCTGGAGTGGCAGGCAAGGTTCTCCTTTACAATGTAAGGAAGGTCATTTATAATTAAGTGGGGACTGGGAATGTGGCTTAGTGGTACAGTGCTTGCCTCAAATGCATGAGGCCCTGGATTTGATTCCTCAGTACCACATAAACAGAAAAAGCCAGAAGTGGCTCTGTGGCTCAAGTGGTAGTGTGTGAGCTTTGAACTGTGATCTTCAGATCTCAGTCTCCTGAGTAGCTAAGATTACAGCCGTGTGCCACTAGCACCTGGCAACCCTGAGCTTTTTAGCTCAAGACTATTGCTCTACCACTTGAACCACAGATCCACTTGTAGCTTTTTGGTGGTTAATTGGAGATAAGGGTCTCACAGTACTTGCTGCTGGGGCTGGCTTCAAAGTGTGATCCTCAGATCTCTGCCTCCTGAGTAGCAAGGGTGATAGGTGTGAGCCACCAGCATCTAGCTGTGCATTTATTTTGTACTGTTCTCTATATTTGTGTTATATTTAAACAACAACAAGAAGAAAGATCTGCCTGGGTACTAGATCTAGGCCTGAGATGATTTATCATGTGCATTTGTGGTTTGTTTTTTGGTTTTGGTTTTGTTTTTTTTTGTCAGACATGAGGCCTGAACTCTGGGCCTGGGCGCTGTCCCTCAGCTCTTCAGCTCAAGGCGAGCACTCTACCACTTGAGCCACAGAACTACTTCTGGCTTTTTCTGCTTATGTGGTGCTGAGGAATCGAACCCAGGGCCTCATGCATGCAGGGCAAGCGCTCTGCCACTGAGCCACCTTCCCAGCCCGTGTGTGGTTTATTTTTGTACTCCTAGAGCCTTAGCAGTACCTGACCAGAGTGGACATTCAGTAAATGCTTTGTCGAGCGATTCAATGGCCTTTACCTCCAGCCCACTCTGGCGGAACCCCTGGCTCTGCTGCTTCAGCAACTAGTGAGTGTCCCAGCCCTCCTGGGTGGAGGTGTACAGGCACCTACGGCCAGGAAGATGTCCCTCTGCTCTACCTAAGGAAACCAAGTGGAAGAGAGGTTCAAACCAGAGCCCCCGTGAAACAAACTTGGAGTCTGGTGAGTTCCATGAGCTTCCTGCTCCAGCCTGTCTCAACTCCCAAAATGAATGTTCTGCATCCTGGAGCCCTGCCAGCACTCTAGCCTCATCACACAGCCCCCCCCCCCGTTCCCCACCCCACAGCTCTCTTCAACTCTGCCATGCTGCCTAGACACTTCTTAGACAAACCCCACCACTCCTTGCTGGCCTTCCTGGAATACACCTCT